CATCTCACTGCTTCCTGCTTTATTTTTTAAAGTAAAGCTCTCAAGTTGAGAAAATATGTAAAACCTGGATGAACATGACACCCTTATGTCTATTGCCAAGCAGAAACTTTAAGATGCTTCTTTCTTATCCATTGCTTTCCTCTATCCTCTTCAGCTTATTGAAAGGTTCACTTGCTCATGAAATATACAATGAATTTCCTTCCCTCTCCAGCCTCCCCTTCCTCAACTTTCCCAGCTCATTGTCCTTCTGTATAGTCTTTCCCCTGCATCCTCTTTCTAAGAATGCAAAAGAGTCAGAACAGTATTAGGAGTTTGATTAAGAACAATAAAGACAAATCATAAAGTCCAGTCATAAGAAAATAACAACTGTTCCCGCTCCAAGTCCCATAGCAAAGAGGCCTGCCGACTTGCTACCCTTGTAAATTATAATTTGGTTTACACATACATACGCAATGATATATGTGCTTAAATATAATTTTTCCCCCTTCATTGTTTCTTCAGCACCTCCTTCATTTGCTGCTCTTGAAGGAAGAGGGAGCAAGACATGAATGACTTTATCATGGCCATTTCACCAGCAAACTCCTTCTGCCCAGCAGGCTTCGGCCTCCATTGGTAGGAGTAGGAGGGGAAGGAGAAGAAGAGAAGTGTGGTTTTGTTGCTGATATCTGAAATATAAATGAGGGTCACTTTATGAAAGCTGACTGTGCAGAAGTGACATTCCACAAGGATTGAATTCCATGTGGCCTGACGTTCATCCTACCTTCCTGGGACTCATATAATCACCCTTTCTGCCTCTCTCTTCTTTAAAAAAAAAAAGTCACTCCCTTTTTAGGAAAATATAAAGTGTTCTTCAAAAATCTTTCCAGCCTCTATTGTGAATCTCTAGGGGGAAATGGGAAGAAAGGCTTGTTTACTATTACTATACCAAGGTCTCTGAGGATACAACTCTGATACATAAAACCAGGAGCCATGGCCTATGTTGGTAGACAGAATTGCCTGGAATTTGGTAGGGATTCTCAAACTAGAATCAAGGTTCACCCAGTAGCTGTGGCCTTTGAGGTCTAAAAAAGGCAGGTGTCCATCAAAAAAGAAAACAACAACAAGAACAACAACAAACCTTGTCCAGTTGACACGTGGTTTTCCAGTTAGCATGCCCCTCTTATTTGGAACAAAATGATCCCTCTCAAAGTCCACTAAAATGTCCTGCAGAGGGCAGATGTTGCTTGTTTTTTGCATACAATTCAGGGAAATATTGACCAAGGACTCAAATCTATACTGAGCTTAAACATTTTACCCATCAGCATGTCTGCAGTCACCAAACACTTCTTCTTTCTGTCACTTCTCTGCCAGACTATTGATAAGATCATTTAGTTGTATCTGCTGGAGACCTGTGTAATATTGACTAAGAGTTAGAAAAGATGATCAGATTTAATAAGCCCAGAAACTAGGGTCAAAGGAGATATTGTACTTATTCAACCAAATAAGGCAAAGGGGATTTAACAAACAGCATAGCTATTAAATAACACAAAGCAGTTTAGACTTCTAACTAGTCTAAAAACTGATTTCTTTAAAGAATGTTTCCCTATTCATTTGGAATCTTCATGAATTACAAAATTGATGATGATAATGATGATGATGATGATGATGATGATAATGTCTGTTCTGGGCATTGTGTACTCAGACCTTCCCCAAGATCCTTCTTTCCTATGTTCTTTTCTTCCTATTTTATGGCTTCTTATTGCCTGAAGAGAAATAAACACTGCCTTGTAAACCATTACAAAATCCATCTTGTTTTGTAAAACTAACTCGAGAATACACTTGACATGACTATAAACACTTGGCGAGCACAGTGATGTTGCACGGATTTCAGGAATACCCTTGCCATTAAACATATTTGATCATTTTTTTTTAAAAAAAGAAATAACTCCTTTAAATAAGCTCCACCTTCCTGAAAGAAAGCGCTCACATTACATAAAGAGATGTGGGCAGAGTTTAACTGGATATATCCACCAAGTTCCACAGATGCTTTCAAAGAAATGTGTATTCAGACTGAGTGGGTAATACTAACCTGGAAAGAGGATACATATGTATCTATCTATTTATACCGCACAAGACCCATTTATAAGATTATCAAATAATGGGGAAATGAAAGCTCAAACTTTCTGACCATTTGGAAGGAATGTTAATAACAAATTGATTGGCAGGTGTTGCTTATATATTTTGGAAGGGAAATGAAACCACAAGTTGTGCTCTACCAAAAGACTATGGAAGTTATAAACATGAAATCTGGCAGTATATGCATAAAATTTATTCCAAAACTTCATGAAGTTTAAAGGAAGTGAGGTGTTTTACACATAACTCAGCAAAAGGACTAGATTTTTACCCCTTTAAAATTTAAGAACTATGCAACTTGGCACTATCTTTAAAAATAAAATAAAGATTTTTCAATAATTAGAACAAACTATGAAGGTATTGTGCATTTGTTTTATGTAGATAATAAAATATTACTTTAACATAAATATATAAGGATCTCTGCGTTTTTATTTTTCCCCACAAGCACAACCAAATGTACCAAAACAAAGTATTTTTTAAAGAGACTGAACCAAAAAAAATTACATCCCATATAGATTTTGTTCACCTACTCATTTAAAGCTACAGAAAAAAACAGTTTCCAGAACCTTTTTGCTTCAAAAGAAATAAATATACATTGAGGCAGGCCACTTAAAAATGATATGAAAATATTTCCCTGGGTAGCATTTTAAAAAAAGAAAAATAGACAAAGAAACATTTAAACTATTTCTGCATTTCAAAAGACAAATATTAAACATATGTACATTGTGGTAAGGTTCAGTGGTAACTTTTGTTTTAGTAAAACCTGTTAAGAGTTAGAGGATCTATAGACATATCCTCTGAACTCCATTTTCTGACCTTACCTACGCATTAATAAGTCTCTGAAAGTTCATTTCCTCCCTTTACCATTGGATATCTGCCCTGCCCTAAATTACTTCACTAAGGGCCAGTCCCCAACACTGAAAGAACAAGCAGCTTGATGCACCCCAAAGCAGCTCTGTGCCCTATCACTGTGACCATTGCTGGGGAAATGCAATAAAGGCAAATAAACATGTCTGTTATAAATCTCTATTTATCTGGCAAAACTTTGAAACTCAGATGGTCACGGGAGTCCAAAAAAACAATAAAAAAGCATATTCTCTTAAAAATGAAAACAAACAAAAACCCAAACCTGGCTACTTATTGAAGTGTGAAACTGAACCGTGATTTTATGCTAGTGAGTTTCATTTAAAAAATAATAATAAAAAGGCTAACACTGGACAACAAAAATCTTTTTAGATTAAAAACAATGATTAAAAAAAAGTCTTCTGCTTAGTGACCTCTTTTGCCAACTATGTTTTTAAAATGTAACTTATCACAGTTTAATGGTGTTTATTTCTCAATAGTTTCAAGTTTTCTCTGAGACTTCCCTGTAGAGTCTTTCGCTTTTGGGAAAGTTAACCATTTTCCATGAAGAGAAGGTCAAGAAAAGCACTTAAATCTATTAACAAAGGGGAGAAAAGGATGGATTGAAGACGGCATTCCCCCCCCCCCCATTTAATTTGGCTCTCTTAGTGAGAGAGAAAAAGCTGCCCAAGTCAGACTGGCCTTTCGTGCCACAAATGATGGAAGGAGAAGGCGTGGGATGATACATTTTGAATTGAAAAATAAAACCTGAGCTAGTCAAGATAAAATCAGTGCACAAATCGGAGAGAACTCCTAGGTATGCACAAATGTATTTTATGGTAGTAAATGCATACACCATTACATTCTCGGATTGTTTTCTTTTAAGTGAAAACACTCACTCTTTCAGAGTTCCCAAGTTTAATTGCTGTCGTCAGCACAAATATTTCCTTGAGATGACGTTATGAAAACTGAAGGTAGAGAACTTTCTGTGGGGTGTCTGAGGGCAAATATTTCCCTAGTTCTCTTCAAAGTGCCACTCTCTTTCTGTTGGACAACTCTGGAAATGTATTTAACCTCCACATTTCCTCGGAGGTCTTTCACAATGGACCCGCCTGCTAAAATGAAGCAATCAGTCACTCAGTATCGATTTTTCTTTTTCTTCCCCCCCCCCCAACACTGCCTGAAAATGAAGTTTACTTTGTTGGTGGCAATCTAAGGATGACTCCACTTTCTATCCTAGGCTTGGAACTTGGCTCGGATAAACTGGGGAGACGATGCACGTTTCTTGAAATCGGAAACTGTTTATTTTGTATGAAGCCAATCATTTTGCTTTGGTAAAAGGAGAAAATAAACGTTACACCGATGTAAGGGGAGCTGAAGATAACCAAAATTCACATACAAGCAAGGAGAACAAGGGTCAACATACTTAGAAGAGTTGCCAAAGACTGGCCAACTCACGTTGCTGAATAAAAAATACAAGGCAATTTCAAAGTGAACCTGTGGGGTGGGGTGAATAGGGTGGGGGGGATATTTTCATGAATTGGTTCATGTAAACTTCAATTTTCTTGCAGTGCAAATTTCTACGGTTAAATACTGTTGACATCAAAGAATTTGTGTATTGTTTTGTCCTCTCTCCCTTTGGGAATCCACATTAAATAAACACCGGCAGCATGTGCGAGCTATGAGCTTCATTCCAGGATGGAAACTGCAATTGTGTTTATCATGGTTTGGCAGATATTTTTTGGTAATTAATTTAGTTTTGCCAGGTATTTATCTCAGTGCCTGTCATCTCTCCCTCTCCCCCCCCCCCTTCTTTCCCCTCTGTGTGTGTGAGATACTCACTCCACTCCATTGCCTGGGTACTCGCCTGTAAAGGTCAAAACACATCGTTACACCTGCTACCCTTTAAAGGATAGTCCAGTGATTTCGTTGCCTTTTTTTTCCCCTTGGGGGGGAATTTAAAAAAAAAAAGAACAATCAGAAGTTAAAGCGGGAACAATGGGGTTGGGGAGTGGGTAAGAAAGAAGGGGAAGAGGGAGCGAAGGGAGGGGGAGCAATCCCTTCGTACTTCTCCCCCTCCCCCCCAAAAGAGTTCACTGGACTGGAGTCTGCACCCCGTGGTGTGGTGGCGTGTCCCTACTCCCCCCGTATACATCCTCGGCTCCCGGCAGAGTCCCTCCCGGAGGAGTCATCCTTTTCTCTTTCTGTCTCCTGTTACAAAACCAAACTCTCACCACCTCTTTCTCCAGTTGTAAGCTGTCCGCCAGGGAGGTGATCTCCTGGGCCGAGGGCTTGGGACATTTGAGGAAATGGCTTTCCAGAGCCCCCTTGACGCTCACCTCGATGGAGGTCCTCTTTTTCCGCTTGCGCCCCTGGGCTGCGATCTTGTCTATGCTGGTGGGACTGCCCGAGGACGAGTCCGCCTCCTCCAACCACTTGTTCAACAAAGGCTTCAGCTTGCACATGTTCTTGAAGCTCAGCTGCAGGGCCTCGAACCTACAGATGGTGGTCTGCGAAAACACGTTCCCGTACAAGGTGCCCAGGGCCAGTCCCACGTCCGCTTGGGTAAATCCTAGTTTGATCCGCCGCTGCTTGAACTGCTTGGCGAACTGCTCCAGGTCATCCGAGGTCGGCGTGTCCTCGTCCGAGTGTGGGTCGTGGTGGGGCCCCGGGTGACCCGGCGGGCCCTGCGGTGGAGGCGGCGGTGGCGGGGGCTGCTGGTGCGGGTGGGAGTGCGGGTGCGGGTGGTGTTCCCCGTGGTGCTGCTCGTCGTGGGCGTCCCGCAGGCCATGGTGGTGGAGCCCTGTGGGCTGGCCCCCAGCGCCCAACATGCCGTTCACGGTGAAGCTGGGCTGCGAGTAGAGCAAACCCCCGTTGGACGCTCCCATGCTGGGAGGAAGGTGAGCCGCTGCAGCCGCGCTCCTCCATGCCCCGGGCCCCGGGTGGTGGTTGGCGGCGTGGTGTACTAGATGCGGTGGCCGCTGCTGCTGTTGCTGCTGCTGCTGTTGCTGTTGCTGCTGTTGCTGCTGCTGCTGGTGTTGCTGCTGCTGCTGCAGAGACCCCGGCCCGTGAAGCTCGTCTCCACGCCCCGGCTGCTGTACCACAACGGAGGGCTTGATGTCCGGCTGGCCCAAGGGGCTAGTGGACCACGGGGAGCCGTCCCCGCCGCCCCCGCCGCCGCCCCCGCCCCCGCCACCTCCGCCGCCGCCCCCGCCCCCGCCGCCGCCGCCGTGGGACAGCGCGGTGATCCACTGGTGAGCGTGGCTGAGCGGGTGTCCGTTGCTCTGCAGCGCGGCGTAGTCGCCCTGCACCAGACTCTGCGCCTCCCGGTAGCCTCCAGTGCCTTGCTGCATGCCGCCCGGCGGCTCGGCGTGCACGATGGAGGCGCTGGAGGTGAGCAGGCTGTAGTGGTTAGACGCTGCGGTCGCCATGACTCTCGGAGCCGGACTGATCGCGCCGGTTAAAGGAGCCGCGCATTTGACAGTTACTTTTTCGCCTCGGGCTCCCTCTCCCTCTCTCTTCTCTCCCCCCGCCTGATGCTCCAACGCCTGCTCCGACGCCTGCTCCGACGCCTGCTGAGGCTGCTACTGCTATTGCTGCTGCTGCTCCAGCTTCTCTCCTTCCTTCCCTCCCTCCCTTTCTCCTCCCTCCCTCTCTCTTTCTCCTCCTCTCCCTCCCTCCCTCTCTCTCCCTTGCTCTCTCCGCTCTCTACCCTCTCTCTCTCTCTAGCTTTCTCTCTCTCCCTCTCCCGCTTTCTTGGCAGCTCCGGCTCTCAACGGCACGCGCCCGGGCCCCGCCCCTATCACCTCCTTCCATTGGCTCTGCACCTTTTGATTTACGTGGATACCGTTAGCAACCGCTCGGAATGGCGGAGCTGATTGGACTGCCTCCTTTCCCCCCCTTCCCTATTTCCCCGCCTCCCCTCCTCCCGTCTTCTCTCCCTCCCTCTCTCTTCCTCATTCTGATTCTCTCACCCCCCCCACCATCCGCCCCCTCTACCTCCTCTTTGGTGGGCCCCGCCCCCCATCTGTTTCTAACGCGCGGAGAAGTGGGGCGGGAGGGCAGACTCAGCGCTCTAGTCAACTGCGGCCACATGGAAGAATTGGAGGATGGGGTTCACGCCTTCTGTGAGGGAGGAGGGGAGGCTGGACGAAGGCTGGATTGTACTGTAACCGGAGGGAGCCCAATTCTTGTGCCTGCAGAGGACACACGCGCGCGCAGATACACACACACACACACACACTCTTCATTCAAACGCCGTTAGACTTTCAAACCTAGAACCAAGAGAAGTGTGACCTGCCTCCTGTTGCAATAATCCCGGTGCAGTGTCAAAGGCCAAGAAGCATCCTTTCGTTGCATCATTGGATGCGCAGTGAGGGTCCTAGCACCAGAGCCTGTGGATTCTTTTGCTCCAGAAAAGTATCTCTTCCCCCCCGCCCCAGCACCCCAAACACTCCCCTCCGGCATGGACTGTACCTTTCCAAGGTTAGCAGATATAGTTGTCTTCCCGCGCCTTTCACTCACTCCCACCTGCTTCTGGGAACTGCCAGTATCCAAGAGAGAGTGAGAGAGTCCTGGTTGGCCAAACAGAATACTGTGGTGCAGTCCCGACGGTGTTGCTGCCTGGGCTTAGATTTTGCCACACAGTGAGGTTCTCGTGTTATTATCACTTAGAATGTCCCATGCTGTCAAATTCATGTACATGCACGCAACTCAGTGGCGTGCATGCACAGCCTATGGTTTGAAAACTTAAGTTACTGGGTGGGAAAACCCCCTCCTTAGAGGTGGTGGAACTGCAAGAGTGGGTCGGCAAAGGCAGTGTGCCATTCTTCGTCCTCTTCTAAAGGTAATGTGTATTCGGAGGAAACCTCTTGTTCTGGACATTTCCACATATTCTTAGCAATAACCAATCATTTCCGTCTGCGGAGCTTTTCTTTGTAACTTCGCTGGATATTTTAAAAACGGAACTGAAAAAGAAGATATGTATGCGTGTGGAAAGGAGTAGATAGGAAGGAATCTGTCTAAAATTCTTTGTTGGGGTTCATAGTTTAACACTCGGGTCAATATCTGGCCAAGCCCCGTTCCGTCTCCGGCCAATTCAAAGAGCAAACAGCAAGGCATTGTACTGCCCTAACCACTGTTGCTACTGCTGTGCGGGGGGAGAGAGGGTGGAGATGAGAGCGTCTTACAGTCAATTTCCTAACTCAGTAGCAGGTGCCAGCCTAGACCAGAAATGCACAGTGGCCAGGGATTTTGGCCATTCTGAAAGTTACCTGGTTCCATAGACTTAACGTTGCTACAATCTCCCATCCTGGAGAGACAGAAGTAACTGTTATACATCAGATTTACTGGAGACTTGAGAGTCAGGAGGACATAGTTCTCGGGACAACTGGGTTGCGAGAGGGCGAGGGAAGAGAAGGAGGAAGAAGGCAGACATACATAAAAATTGCTGACAAAAGCGGTAGAGAAAGACCTAGGGGGAAAGTGATTTTAGTCCCCTGCGCACAAGCAGCGAAGTCGCCGGAAGTGGCTCTTGTCCCTGAGATAGGAGCCCAATAAACGACTCTAGGGGAGTGGTTCTCTGCCTCCAAGCATCTTACTGGAAGTAGCCCAGTGGAGTGGACTGGAGAATTTATCATTACTAACGAGAGGCAGCGTTCTTCTGGGAATGGTTGAGTTTGTAAATTACTACGTTTAACCACTCCGGCAAGACAGTCTGGTTGAATTTTTCCACGTGTTCTATGTTTTTGAGTGTGTGTACGTGTGTTTGTGTATGAAATGGGTTGGGGGAGGGGCCAGCTGCCAGGCCCACCATATACACGCGAGCGGGCGAACATATACACGCACACATATACACGCACAATAGACCGTGCAGAGGAAACTCTCCACTTCTCAGCACAGGGTTCGAATTGGGGGAGCAAAGCTAGGACCCGCTGAGGAAATAGATCAGACACTGGTTAACTATGCCTTCTTCAGCACAAACGGTAATAATTTTTAACCGCGAAACTCTAGCCGGTACTTGTGCCCTCTTCTGATTCTAGCCGGAAGAAATAGGCTGGAAGAGAGGGTGCCAACTCCTATCGAGTTGGTGACTTCCCCACCTTCTTCTCTGTCTTCTGCTTTGATTACTCTCCACCCCAAACCCCCCCCCAAACCTCACACAGACACACACCACACACCCTCCTCTTCCCTTTTGCCTATCCGCTTAGAGATAGAGCAGTGAGCCTCAGCTCAGTCTACGCTCTGAACCCACTCATCCCTCCAGAATGCCAGCTTGCCGCTGCTGCTGCAGTTACAGTCCAGCTGCAACATCCAGGACCTGCAGCCAGGAGAAGAGAATTCAAGACTGCTGAACCCAAAGTCCAGTGGCGCCAAAGGGCACAGCTGTAAGAAAGAGCCAGGTCCTAGGTTTCCTCTCACTCCCCTTCAACCCCAACCTAGGCCAAGCCAGCAGGATTAAATTTCTCATTTCTTTACATATTTTACAAGAAGTTGAAAGAGAAAGAATCCCACCCCCTTCCTTTTTTTTTTCCAGTAGGCAGCGTGATATTTGCGAAGGAAGAGCTTTTTAAACGCAGCTCGGGGCTTCCCCGGAGGGAAAGGTCTAAGTAGTCTCAGCCTCCAGGGTGCAGAGTAAGAGCGAAAGTTGGCTGTTCCAAGAAGGCAACGTGGCTCGTTGTCCTCTAGGCGTCCGTCCCTCCCACCCCCCTTCCCCGCCCTCCGTCCTCTGTTCGCCCGCTTTTCCTAACCAAGCGCCCGAAACCGTGGGGGTGACGCTTCCCTCTCCACCAGTTCGGAGTGTGCTGGGTGGGGGCGCCTCTTAGGGCGTGGGCGGGGACTGAATATCAACAATTAGATCTGCCTATGAGGAAACCTCACTAGCGGTTATTGATCTGAAAGCCGCCGCACAGGGAACTTCACAAGCTTCTTCTTCGCTCTCCTCTCTCCTCTCCTTCTCTCGTTCCCCTCTCTCCCCCCGCACATTTTGCACGCGGCGGGGGGAGAGTAGTTAAAAATTGGGCATACGACAGTCATCCTACCAGTTTTAATACAACTAACAAATCGCCAAATAGCCAGGATATAGGGCCATAGTATTACTCTGCAATCATCAAACTAAGTACCAGAGCAAACCCCATAGTCTCCCAAATTAAATTAACGATCTCTACGTCCCCAAGTACGGCTGAGAGCACGCAGGGCGGCGTGCGAACTGTGGATTGCAAAGAGATGCAAGCTCCGCCTTCCCGGCCCCATCATCATCATCCTGGTTAGCCTTGTCATTAATACTGTTTCTTAAGCATCCTTCATTCTGCTCGCTCTCTCCCTCCTCAGCGGAGGGAACCCCTGGCAGCCAAGCTCTTGATGTTGCTACCCTCTGGGGTTCTCCTAACCTGTACTTATTGCAGTTTTAGCCCCCAAATGGGGGGTGATCTAATAGTGCCACGGAACCCGGGATGTGAAAGAGACAGTCATGTGTCCCCTTTCTTTGCTGGCTGACCCTGCTGGATTAGAGGTTTCACTCGCCTTTCTTTCCTTTCTCTGCCCATATAAAAGCAGGTTGAAGGTGATGCGGTGTCTCGGGCAGACACTGCAGTGTTTTGATTCAACTCAGCCCTTTTCTCTGTTCAAAGCAGCTGTTCAAATACTAGGGCTGCTTATTTTGACGTGGAGAGGATTTTCAAACAACCCCAAAATGCTTTGAACTGACAAGGCTCCTTGATATCTCCTTCATTCCAGTACAGCTATCCAAGAACATTTTTTATAAAAATACATACAGGCGGGTCTTAAATGCAGCTTTCTCTCCCAGGTGGGAGGTGGGGTTGACAGCACATCTTCGAGTTGCAGACCTGCCTTCGAGGGTGGCGAGGTCAAGAGACTGAGCCCGCGGAAAATGGCATGGAAGAGACTCAGGTTATGCTTGCTCTCTGCCGATTGCAGTTCTCTTTCTTTGGTTCTGCTTAGTGAATTCAACTCTGTTGATTTTATGAACTAAAAGGAGGGTGGGCTGAACTTAATCCTACAATTCTGGACTGTACTGACGTGAAAATAACCGAAGAAACTCCACTTACACCAAGGAGACATCCACATTCAACACACACACGTTTCTATTGTGAGCAGTGCCCAGAATTCATTCTCATGCAGCTTGTCTGAAAGTCCTTGCTGATTAATGTTTTACAGTCAGTCCACACTTAGCCACAACTCAATCCCCACACATACACATGATATAAAATATTATAAAACTAGCTACAAATCCTAGCACAAAACACTCACTGTGCCTAAAATATAATTACTGTGTAGGTATATGTATGTATACATATATACATATACATATAAGTATACAGCAAGGTCAACGGGGTTAGCAAAAGGAACCAAGGTCAATGGTTTATACATATTGAGCTGGGTAAGCAGACAGCTGCTAACATTGAGGTGAAATAGTTACCCTCTGACTCCTTATCCTAACTTGTTTCACATTTACTTGGTCTTAGGATAAAAGAAACAGGAAACCGAACATTTTCCTGGAAGGCAAAGGGAGAAATCTTTTCTTACAAGGAGTTTGGCCCTAGGGGAAGAGATACCGACTAGTTCCTTCTAGATGAAATAGAAGGATTTTGG